AAGGTGAGCACATACATCAAGAGCATTTGGATGCACGACGTATAAACGCTGGGGGCGGGTCTGGGTGCTCTCGAGAGATTCACCTCTACACGAGGAGGGCGTCACACCCTCAGCGCGGCCGCTGGCACCCGTTGCTTGTGTTGGTCGCGCGTATGAAGGGAGTTGGGCGAGACAGAGAGGTTTAAGAGGTTCGGGAGCGCGCCGTGAAGAGAGCGGACGCCAGCGCAGCGCTGGCATCGATTATCGCAAATTGGAAGACCAAGTGCAGAAAAGCACCATCACAATCGAGCGGAACGTTCGATAGGAGGGGATGATGGTCTTGGTTATCCGGCTTGGTGTGGTTGTGCCCGCGACTTGGCGCTTGCTGAGGAAGCGGAAATTTGGTGTGCCCGGCGCCTAAACCTGCAGCCGATTGCTGACCCTAAAAATCATCGCTCGTCACCAGACAAGATGGGTGCCTACAAATACGTAGAGGCTATTCACCAGAAGAAGCAGTCGGACCTGCTCAGGTTCCTGCTCCGCGTGCGGTGAGTGTCCACTACTGGAGCTTGTGCACGGAGGTCGTAGCGAGTCCTACAGAGATGGGCAGAGAAATACCGATCACAAGGCATACCAAGAGTCAGGTTTCCTTGAGCGCTCATACCCATCGCTTTAAAAACAGATGCTGGGAGTACCGCCAACTTCCAGTCATTCACCGATGCTCGCGCCCTTCGCGCCCAGACAAGGCTCGCCGTCTCGGCTACAAGGCCAAGCAAGGCTATGTCATCTACCGCATTCGCGTTCGCCGCGGTAACCGCAAGAAGCCTGCTCCCAAGGGTGCCACATACGGCAAGCCCGTCCACCAAGGTGTCAACCATCTCAAGTACCAGCGCAGTCTGCGTTCTACTGCAGAGGAGCGTGTTGGCCGCAAATGTGGTGTGAGTCGATTTGTGGCTTTCTCGGATCTTACAGATCACGCTGGCTTACACACAGTCACCACGCGTTTTTGCTGCTATCAACAGAACTTGCGAATTTTGAACTCGTACTGGGTCAATGCTGATGGTGTCTACAAGTACTTCGAGATCATCGCTGTGGACCCATCGCACAAGGCCATCCGCCGCGACGCTCGCATCAATTGGATCGTCGACCCCGTTCACAAGCGTCGCGAGGCTCGCGGTCTGACCGCTACCGGCAAGAAGAGCCGCGGCCATCTCGGCAAGGGTCACCGCTTCAACCACACGAAGCACGGAGGAAAGAACTCGACCATCCGCAAGCGCGACACTCTCCAGCTCAGACGTTATCGCTAAGCGTCTCGACTGCTTGGAGTCTGATGCCGATCCGCCAGTCGACGGTCGCTTTCAACACACTCTTCCAACCCCCTTTCGCCTTGTCTCGGCCCCCTCCCCTTCACGCTCTCAAGCATATGCCTGTACGTCTCCCATGCGACCGCTACACAAAAGCGTCTCACCGCGCTCTGGTGTCTTTGTCAATACAGACATCTTCACATCACTATCTGACGGCGCGCGTTACTGGCGGGAGATGTTTGATGACGTACGCAACGCTGTTGAGAATGCTTGCACCGGAAATGAGAGTTTTGAGCGTGCACGTGCCGAGTGCTCCGCTGGATCTTGTCACAAGGGCTGAACGCAGACGATCGTCATGGCGCTGGCTTGAGCGCTGTTGCGGACAGTACGCTTCGACGGACGGGAGCTACGGACGTACGCTTGGAGATGAATCTCAACAGGATTCCTCATGATTCTCACTGAACATGGATCTACGGCGTCTAAGCGTTTGGCCCTGAAGCTCGAATCGACGCTACATATGCAGCCATGGGGTGCAGAGTGGTTAGGTGAAGGACGTTGAGTGTGAGTTGTGAA